CTCAGAAAAGCACGGTGAGTCACACAGACCCAGTCCCAACCCTTTGTCTGACCCAAGGAAGTCCGTAGTGTGAGCCTCCCTCCTCCTTCCTTCCGCTTGCTGGCTTGTCTGCCCTGGAGAGTTTTCCTTACAGACCTGATGCAAGTGAGCTCCCCCCATCCCCTTTGCCTATGGAAAATGTGACTTCTGCCAGCTAGAGAGCACTTCTGCTTGCACTCTGGTTGTAGCTGTGAGCTGTGTTGTGCCAATGGCTTTCTTTTTTCTCCAGGACTAAGCATGTGTGATGGCTTTTGCCAGCATCACCTCTGTCAGCTTCTGTGCTGAGGCACATGCTGATGCTGTGGGTGCTGGTGGTGTGGAGCTGGCTGCCTCCAAGTCTTCCAGGGAAAGCTTGTGGTGGATGGTGGAGAGCAGGTGAGTCTGGATGGCTCATTCCAACTGCTGGCTGGGAGCAGTGGGGCTGGGGGGCTGCCATGGGCTCTTTGGGATGATTCTTAGGTTCTCTCCATCAGCTGGCAGCAGGCCCTGGGTCATGCCATGGTCTGGTGCAACTTCAGCTCTCTGGTGCAACTCCTCCTTCTTACCATGTACTTAAGTGTGACAGTGGCAGCTGGTGAGGAGCAGTGGGAATTTTGGGAGCATTGGGTCTCTGCTGCAGGATGGTTGCTCTCCTCTGGTTCCTGGCCAGGGCTCACTGGGACTTACTCCCTTCCCATGCATGTGTTCACCACAACCACTGTTCAGTCTGAGCTTTGAACCTCTGTAAGTCATTTGGGAGTGCATCTGCAGGTTCCTGTCTGGGGGTGAGGAGGTGTTTCCCAGTTCACAATAAAGACCTGCACTGCTCACCCTCCTTGACCTGGCACATCACCAGCCGTCGGGAGCATCTGCCTGGGACCCAGCTGACCATGACTCGGCCTGGCCATGGCTGTTTGTTGCAGTAGCCCAGGTCCTGGTCACCTCCTTATGACCTGGAGTGCCTGTCTGGCTCCACCATGTGTGGGTCAGCTTCCTAGGGAGCATGGTGATGTGTGGAAACAGAGACCCCAGGCCATGATGAACCTATAATTTTTTACCTTTGAATAGCTAGTAGAGCTGAACTTCCTTCCTCCATCCCTGCCCCTGCATGCACTGCCTGGGGCAAGTTGCCAGGGAGGTGGCTGTGGGGTCCAGCAGGCTTGCATGCTTAAGGATACTAAACCAACTAAGAAACTGAAACAAAAACAAACACGTCCCTCCAGTGACTCCTGCTCCTCCTGGCCCAGGTGGCTGGCAGAGCAGAGACCTGGCACTTCGGACCTTCTGCCACTCTTGCCTGCTCCAGCATGTGCAGTGAGCACATTCCCTGTGTGGTTTTTTCCTCCCCACAGATGCCTCTTCCCTGGCTGATCCTTACATTTCCCACACTT